AGCTACTTCTTACTACTATCTTAAGTCTTAGTAATATTAAGTAAGCTATTAGAGAAAGAAATACGCTTATTATCTATAAGCAGCTTAATAGAGTTATTATAATTACTAGTATTAACGTTATAGTAGATCTAAGTAAAATTAACATTATTCTTACCTTTAGAGTTAGTAAGGTAACTACTACTTATATTATTAATGTACTAGAAGCTATCTTTAAAAGCGCCTAAAAAGAAAAGAAAGCTATTCTTTTATAAGTTAGAGAATCTATAGAAGTAGAGTAGATTCTAATAAAAGTTTTATAAACTAAAGGTAGTAGTTATAAGAGAGTTCTAGGTAACTATAGTAGGCGTAGTATAGTATAAGAACGTAGACTACTATAGCTAGCTACTACACTAACTATAAGTAGTAGAGGCTATAGTAGACTTAGTAAATAAGAGAATGCTACTACTAAAGGTAGTTACTACTAGGTTAGTTATAGCGCTTATAGCAGAACTAGAACTAGTAGCGTAGAAGAGAATATAGAAGATATCTCTAATTAGAAAGTTACTAACTAGAAACTAGAGAATTAATAATATAGTTATCTATATAGATCTTATAAAAGTAACTAGCCGCGTTACTAGGTTACTATTAGAGAATTAGAGACTATAATAACGTATAAGAGTTATATAGAGATTAGATAATAATATTATATTAAATTATAATATTATTATAGTAAGGCTTAGAAGAAGTACTTAGAAGTAGAATATATATATGTAGGCTATTAGCCTAAGGTAGGCCTAATACCTAAGAAACTAAACTATTATATATAGTATATAATTATACTAGTATAGATTAAGATAAGCTTTTAAAAGCTTTACTACTTAAGAAAGCTTTCTAAGTAAGCTTATAATATAATAATTTATTTTTTATTTATTTCTATACTTTTAGATATAATATAAAGTTATAAAAGTAAGTAAAAGCTTTATATTTCTACTTTATAAAGATATAAACTTTTACTAGTATAGTTACTATAAGATATATAAAGAAAAACTTAGCTTTAGCTTACTTAAAAATTAAAGCTTTTATCTTATATTAGTATTCTTTTTAGTTAGACTTACTAGTATTATAATAAGTAGTAATATACTTAAGTATTTTATTTTACTACTAAACTAAGTCTTAAAATAAAATAGCTAATTTATATCTTTTATATATAAAGTTACTAGTATTAGTAAGTATATAAATTAGCTATATATTTTTTATAATAAAGATAATATTTAGAGTATTATAAAAAAATTTAAGTACTACTTACGTAGAATTTTATACTTTAGAAATAAGTAACTATAGTATTATAAGATTTATACTTATAGTATAGCTACCTTTACTACTATACTAAAAACACCTATTAAATTACAAGTTAAATAACCTAAATTAGACACCTAGTCGTCTTTTCGCAGTAATGCTTAGCCGTTTAGTGCCATCGATCGACGGACGGCTTCATCACCAACCTCTAGTCCACTACGGCACGGTGCACGGTTTAATGCCCGAGGATAAATGGCTTGGTCGAAGGGAGTGCGGGCAATCAGGGCTACACATCCGGGCTCCGCATTACGGAATGAGCCTGTGATATAAAGGCTATTCGTGCGCCGCGATTGACCACATACTCAACCGAGCAGCTTCCCCTCTGAACCAGCGTCATGTTACTACCGACTCTCGTCGCAAGTGCTCTTACACTTTCGGGCACGGTTGCGGCGCTGCCTCAATCTCAGCCGTTTCGAGAAGTCTTGCGAAGCAGACAGAGTACCACGAGTAATGCTTTAGAGGTGGACCTGGGCTACAAGATTTACCAGGGTTCCAGTAATGCAAGCACAGGTATCAATAGTTGGAGAGGGTATGGCTTTTCCGCGATCTTGAATGGCTACAGCTAACATATGACTTCAAGCATTCGCTTCGCTGCATCCCCAACAGGTAGTTTACGCTGGCAACGACCTCAAGCACCAGCCGTAAACCGAACTTCGCCCATAGGCGCGGACAACTACGGATCGCAATGTCCACAGATCGGCCAAAGCAATGGAATGCCGAGTGCGCCTCCGGGCCCAGACTCACCCCCACTCTCAGAAGACTGTCTCTTCCTCAATGTCCAGAGCCCGGCAAACGCGACGAACCTTCCTGTGCTCGTGTGGATTCATGGCGGCGGCTATGGGGCTGGTAACGGACGACAAGACTTTACCGATCTTCTCACAACAACTGGCAACAAATTCGTTGTCGTATCAATCCAGTACCGACTGGGGCCCTTTGGATTCCTCGCCTCGGACGAAGTGTACCGAAAGGGCGTCGTGAATGCAGGACTGTTGGACCAATTCTTCGCTCTCCAATGGGTCCAGACGTATGTCAGTCAGTTCGGAGGCGACCCATCAGCTGTCACTATATCTGGCGAGAGTGCTGGTGGTGGTTCGGTCATGCTACACGACATGGCCTACGGTGGCTCTCTAGGCGACTCGATGTTCCGCAGTACTATTGCGGCATCACCATACTTGCCCAAGCAGTACGGCTACAAAGACTGGATTCCGACACAGAACTACTATGCGTTCGCCGACCGAGCCGGCTGCATGATCGACGCATATGGTAATGCGACTTCCACCATCTTCGACTGTTTGCTATCGCAAGACACGGAGACGTTGCAGAACGCTTCCAGCGAAGTGGAAAGCACTGCAACATTCGGCACCTGGGCTTTCCTGCCGGTTACAGACGGAGTGTACGTTCAAGATGAGCCAAGCAGCCAGCTTCTCGAGAAGCGTGTGAACGGACGGAATGCTCTGATCGGAAATAATGCGAACGAGGGCCCTTCGTTCGTACCACAAACAATAACCTCTGAAGACGACTTCACGGCGTGGCTCCGCAACAACCTGCCCGAATTCACCGACTCCGACATCGCAAAGGTTCTTCGCTACTACCCCATCAGCGACGCCGCGACCACTTCCAACGCAGATAAGTTCGCGACGAACGGCGTGACCGGACCCAGCGCGCTCGACCAAAGCTCAATAGCAACCGGACAGCAACAGCGTGCCAACAACCTCTACGCCGAACTGACTTTCGTATGCCCGTCATACTGGATGGCGGAAGCGTACACCGATGGTGATCGCACATCATACAAGTACCAGTTCAGTGCCCTCCCAGCCACCCACGGCGCTGATGTGGGCGTATACTTCGGACCATTAGGCGGCAGGCCAGACGTAAGCACCGACCTCCAACGCGCCTTCATGAACATCTGGGGCAACTTCATCACTGAGGGCACCCCGTCGATTTCTGCTTCCGTTGCAGCTGGCTCTTCTGGCTCGTCAAACGGATCGGTAGCCACCAACGATGCTACTCAATGGCCAGCTTTCACGATCGCTGAACCATATCAACTTGATCTTAACCAGACGGGTGGTGAGTTAGCTTTGATGGTTAGCTCACCGGTCAACCTGACTTATCTGACTGAACCGGGGCTGATGAATAGCTTTACGCTGGTGAATGCGTATACATGGGAGGCTGGGCGTGGTATGAGGTGTGATTTCTGGAGGAGTGTTGCTGATATTATTCCTGCATAATGTTGTCAGACTAAGTACGCAGACAACTCTTGTGTAAAATGTATGAAGGTACAAGTGAAATCCATAATCATCTTCGATTTCTCCTTCCGTTCTCTACACATCCCCTCGATCTCTGATCATCAACTTGTCAACACATCTCCATATACGCCCTAATCCTTCTCCGCTCAACCACTTGGCGCTTCCGTAACGGTTACAACTACATTACGCCAATTCATTCCCGGAAAACCGACGAGATTAGCCCAATGCTGTCCCGAAATCTCTGTCTCGCCTTTCGACGCAATGGCTGTAAAGGCTTCGTGTGTCAGATAGACGTGGAAATGATGGTTTGCATGATCGGGTGCGACAACGTAGCGTATGTACGTCAATCGAGACACAAACTTGATCGCATAGCCGAGCCAGGCGCTGTTTCGATCTTCGGGTATGACTCGGCGAGGTGGACATGGGAAGGGCGTATGGAGAAAAACCCGTAGTAAAGGAGACCTCGCATAGAGCCGAAGCAATCCAGCTAGTTCAAGCGACACACCGTATTGTCGGGCCATGATGCGCAAATTGCCGCGCGCCTCAGTAACACCCGGGAAGAAGTCTGCGATGTACGGATCTACCAGATGCATTCCGATTACTACCGTCGACTGTTGCTCGAGTAGTGGTAGGAATTCGCGCCGGAGCTTCCGACATGTTTGGGAAAGGCCGAGTGTGTTGCGTCCGCTTGAGGTCCAGCAGAGCGGTGATCCAGGTAGACAGTGCTGCATATGTGGATTGAGGCTGAGTGTGCCAAAGTCAATGCTGCGGGGCTGTGCGAGGTGCTGGTAGATTTCGTTGCGCACTTCTGGATCAAAGAATTAGTGTGCGCGACGCACTAGGGGAGGAGGGGAGACATACCGCCAGGCAGTTGTAGGAGTCGGCATGTCGCTATGGGGATGACTGAAGTGCCCTCCATCGTTCAGCGGATTAGCAGTCCCGGAGTTGATATCGCTTAAGGGGCGGGGAAGTGACAACCGAAGCCAAAACGGGGCGAGATTGTGAACTGGAGCAAGAGAAGGTACAGTGGGGGTCATCCACTACCTGCCTAGGTACCTAGGTAGGCATCAACACATCACGTGCAATGAATCCAGCCCGAGTGCAGACCACTTCCTGTAGGGGTCACTGGTGTCTTTCCAACGTCTCTACGCCAGAGGATAGTCAATGTCTCAATCTTGCCTGTCGACTTTCTGAACACATCACCTTGAGACGCTTTACATATCAACTCTTTTAGGCTTTGTTCACATGGGAATGACTGGAACTTCTAGCCTAACTAATGTGATAGGTCAGGCTATGGGACCGGTCGACAGTTGCATGAATGTACGTTAGTCCAAGTTAAGAAATGCTTTCAATGCTACTTATACCCCATTATCTTGGGTCTCATCCCATTGATATCAACCCTCATCTCAAGTTCCAAGCATGCATCTCCGCCCTGCAAAGCCGTCCGATGAACCAGCCATCGTCGACATCTGTGCCCGCGCCTTCATGGAAGAAGACCTCTTCGGCCGAGTAATCCACCCCCACCGAGCCCAGTATCCCAACGACGTAAAGATGTTCTGGCACGAATGGGTACGCAACGACTGGTCTAACCCACGAAACAAAGTCATCGTCGCCGTCTCAACGGCAGATCATCAGCAAGAGAGTGTCATCGGCGCAGCAATCTGGCAACGCCAAGGCGACGACGCAGGCGCGCAAAGAATCATCGCAGGATGGACTGATCCTGGTACATTTCCCGTCCTGCCTTCAACGCACAACCGTGCCGCAGACTCCTCAAAGAAGGAGATTCTAGTCCACGCCGCGCCATTTACTAAGCACTACTGGTCTGGGCCGTGTGCGACCAATTGGTACCTGTCGCTCTGCTGCGTGGATCCTGATGTTAAGGGCCGTGGGGCCGGACGGCTGCTAGTGCGGTGGGGGCTGGACCGTGCCGAGGAAGAGGGTATCAGGGCAAGCGTGATGGCTAGTGAGGGCTCGGATGGGTTTTATTTGAAATGTGGGTTTGATGAGGTCGTTGGGAATGCAAGCGAAGGAGAGGGTAATCCATTGCGGAAGGAGGGTGTGAAGGGTGGTAAGATATTGTTCATGTGGGTCAAGAATGGTAAGGCTATCGAGGGGGCAGCTGTGTAGTCGTATTCTCACAAAAACGCGGACATTTTCTTTACGTTTTCGGGTGGTGAGTGCAACCTTCAGAAACAGCTACTTAGGCAAGCGAAGTAGCCCAGGCCGATGTGTATCAAGCCCCTTCTTGACAGGTTCATGCTTCACTTCAAACTGTACATCCTTCCGAATGAAAAGCTCTTGGGTACTGTGCTGACTCTTCCGGTCGGACTCTTGTGTACTCCTGCGGTCCAGCTCCTCAATACCATCATCTGCGCCAAGACTGCTTTCCACAATATATGGTTTCCTGTTGACTCTAACCGCGCCTTCGTTGACTCCTCCTCGCAGTCGTGATGGAACACCTTCACCACGGTCAAACCGAGACAATTGGATGCTTTCGTCATGATCGAAGCGCACAGTACTGTGATGCACACTCGAAACGTGTCCATAACCGCTGGAATGGGTCGAGTATCCGACACCCGCTTTCTGACCGCTGCCGGTATCGAAGCTTTGGATGAACGACTTCAGACACGGTATGGTTGCCGCTATCAGCGAGAAGCAAAGCTGCGATTGCTGATAGATCAATGCTGTCGTTCGCTCGACACCGGGGTTTTCACCGTGTAACGAGCTACTCCAGGTCTTGTAGAACAATCCGGCAAGAACGATAAGTGGTAAACGTAGCGCGAAGACTCCCAATATCTGCAGCTTGAACACGATGTTCATTTGAAGTCGCCGACACAAGTATGTCGGGATGAAGGCCAGCATGAAGTCGGTTATTCCGTCACTGATTACGACAACCATGTAGCGGATTTCGAGACTATGGCAGATATCGGATGATTCCCTTGGTAACAGGCTCTCACTTGCACAGCCAGCTGAGACTAGCACGGTAGATACAAGTGTCCACGTTATGATGACCGCGGTGGCCACGTTGCACACTGCCCAAGCGTGCTTCATGTCGCGCATGAAGAATCGTCGTACCAGTAGTATGAGAGCCGTCTTTGAGAAGCCGAGAGATATGTAGATGAACACTTGACCACGCGAGTAGGTCTGTCAACGCGTTAGAAACAGTTGCCGCGCTGGGTGGGGTCGTATTACAGAGGCCATCCATGAGTACTGGTCTTTGGTAAGGGATGCAGATGATCGTGCCATCCCAGTTGATAGGGATGCAAGAAGTAGTGAGAACTGAACAACGCTGGCAACCTGTTATTGTCAACTCATTACATTAGACAGTCTCATGCCAGTGGCATTCATACCTGCGCAATCAACATCGCTGCATCGTCCAGCCCAAGCATACGCCATCTGATGAACAGTCGCGTGAGAAATGTAAGGCTCGTATAAGTGAAGGCGAGGAATGTCACAATGTACAGGATCCCACTGCGATCATCAGGCGTGATGCGCGCCCAGCGATAACCATCTCCCAACGTCGCGGACATTCTAGAGTTGCAAGATGCGTGGGTCGGTAAGCCTTGACTGACATACCATGGCGGCTATGACCCTGAAGTTGAGTGCTGCAGCCAGGCCGTCATTTTACTGGAATCCCGTCTGTGCCCCCACGCCCAGGTGGTCAGTAAACTGCGCGTCTCGCATCTGGCCATCTTCATCAGCCCGAGTATTGGACGAAATCATTTAGCCAAAGCCTGTGCTGCAAGCGAGCCGTCTTGACAAGGCGTCGAGCCGTGGTGGTACGTTGCAGAGGATGCGAAGGAGTTGAGTTGCATTGCGAAGGAATGGAGCCGCATCGGCTGGGAGGCCGCTTCCCCCGCGGGGCGGCGCGCTAGCCTCCCCTGGGCTATGGCCGGCCCGTCCCCTGCACGATCAACGTGCATCCAGCCATCACACCACCTGAGTGGTCTCATCTTGCAGCTGGCCTTCGGCTTAAGCCGCTGGATTATCAGAATTCTCCCGTGCCATTGAGCAAGATGCATTTGCGCTATCCCTCAGAGTTCTTACCTAGGTAGTGTCACCGGAGCAATCTCCGGGTCTTCTCGGTTGTCTTGTTGCTTGCATTTCAACACTCGCACTCATTCTTTCCAGTGTTCACTTTGTGTATTCGTTTTCCTATCATGTCAGTCCTAAAGAGTGAGGCTGCTGTGGTGGCCCAGCCTTTCGACGGCGAGTCTCAGCAGGATGTCGTTGTTTCAGAGAAGAAAGGAACCGCTGGCGACCAAAAGGACATGTATCGTATGGGAAAGCAACAGGAGCTGCGACGAAACTTCCGTTTTGTGTCAATATTCGGATACAGTATGGTGTTGATGGCGACATGGGAGACCATCCTGACGTGGGTATGCATGAACATTTGATCTGCACTTTCTGACACCCAACAGAACTCTCATCATCCCATTGACCAATGGCGGCACCGGTGGCGCCATCGTCATGTTCCTCGTCACAGCGGTGGGCATGGGCTTTGTCATTGTCTCAATGGCTGAGATGGCTTCAATGTGCGTAGCAACCCGTTGCTGAGATCCCTTCGACGTGACCAATCGCTGACGAAAATGAAGGGCTCCTACTTCCGGTGGGCAGTATCACTGGGTGTCTGAGTTTGCGCCAAAGAAACACCAGAAGTTCTTGAGTTACCTCGTGTAAGCTTCCCTGAGTATGTCCACAACACTTATGACTAACCGGGTACCAGTGGCTGGCTTTGCGTGCTGGGTTGGCAGACCGGAATCGCGTCCATCGCCTTCCTTGCTGGTGGTCAGGTCCAAGGACTCATCATCCTCAACAACCCCAACTACGTCCCCGAACGATGGCACGGCACCCTCTTGGTCATCGCGGTAGCAACCTTCTCGATCCTGTTCAACACACTCCTAGCTCGTAAGCTACCTCTAGTCGAAGGCATCGTCCTGGTCCTACACATCTTTGGGTTCTTCGCTATCTTCATCACCATGTGGGTGCTTGGGCCGCGCAGCCCATCCAGAGAAGTTTTCGGTGGATTCCAAGACAACGCTGGATGGGGTAGTGTGGGCCTGTCTGTGTTGGTGGGGCAGCTCTCCCCAATCTTCTCTCTCTTGGGTGCAGATGCTGCTACTCATATGTCGGAAGAATTGAAGGACGCATCGCACACACTTCCCCGCGCCATGATCTGGACAGCAGTCGTCAATAGCAGTTTGGGTTTCCTCATGCTAGTAACCTTCTGCTTCTGCCTCGGCGACGTCGAAAGCGCCATCATGTCGCCGACCGGGCAGCCCCACATCCAGATCATGTACAACGCTACACAGTCCATTCCAGGGGCTACAGCTCTGGCATCAATCACGACTATTATGGCCGTGTTTGGATGCGTCAACAATGTGGCAACATGCTCGCGCCAGCTCTTCGCTTTTGCTCGCGACCACGGCGTTCCCTTCAGTGCCTTCCTATCCCGAGTCCGACCAGGCTGGGATATCCCTCTCAACAGCGTTCTTGTGTCTTTCGGGATTGCCATTGGTCTCTCTCTCATCAACATCGGCAGCACCGTGGCATTCAACTCCGTCGCGTCGCTGGGCACGTGTGCTCTCCTCTCGTCCTACATCGTCAGTATCTCATGCATGTTCATCAAGAGATGGAACAGAGAGTCCCTCCTCCCCTGCAAGTTCTCGCTCGGTCGCGCCGGTATCTGGGTCAATGGCGTGTCCGTTGTGTATCTGTGTGTAGTATTGGTGTTCGCCTTCTTCCCCACATTCCCGCACCCAACACCTGATCTGATGAACTGGAATATCCTCATCTACGGCGTTGTCGTGGTATTTTCTCTTGCTTACTTCTTTCTCAAGGGGCGCAAGGTGTATGTTGGGCCTGTCGAGTATCTCAACAAAGATCTTTGAGTGGTAGCCTCATCCTGGGAGAGTATGGACGAAACGGACTAGATGACATGGGGGTATAAAACCGTTATTACTGTTTGTCGTTGTACAATAAAGAACCGTAAATTGCTCGTATACCAACCTTCCCAAGACCAATCACCCATCTTCGCCCAGGCTGTTCGGCTCGCTAGGGGAGATCGCGGGTTGCACCAGCGTCTTGTAGATGTATGTGCCCAACACTGATACTGATTCGGTATGTTCGTACAGCAATATCCCCAAGGCCGATTCTCTGCACCCAGTCCTCAACATAGCTGTTGACTGCAGAACTTTGGCCTCGAATCGGAGCGTCGACATTTTCGTTTGGCTTCCAAGCCATCCACGGTTCTACCGCTGAACGTGTGATCTCTAAACGCAATTGAGGATTGCTGAAAGTCCGAGGAACAACATAGACAACAGATGTGACAGCTCGCTCGAAGAAAGTCCTCCAAGTGTCATTGGATCGTACGTCAATGAGGCTTCTGAGACAGACGATGTCCTTCTCAAAGAACTTCTCAAGTTTGATCGTCAGCTCGGGCGCAGTCAACAACAGTCGGATTAAAGGAGCGAGGTTGGTATGGACGGGTCTTTTCTTCGGTGGACTCAATATCACTGTGCCATGTGCTTTCTCAAGTATGGGGAAAGATACGGCCACAAATTTTGCCAAGGTGGCGACGTCAGGAACATATGCGGGAATGCATTGGTGGTGCATGGGAAGGAACTCGTTCCGGAGCAGGCGACAAACTTGAGTAAGACCGAGAGCTTGCCGTCGAAGTCGTGACCAGCCTAAAATCCGATTTGGCGTCCTGCTGAACATGCACAACGGGTAAGGCGGAGGTATCAGTCGGACCTCTTTTGGGCTTCCATCGATAACGTGGGTGTAGATGTGGTTGCGGAGTTCTTCGATTGTCCAAAATGTTAGCATGTTTTTCGATCAAGACTTGCAGTGGATGATACATACCTCCGGGCAGCTCCAAGAGGTAGCACCGCATCTCGCCCAGCGTGCTTGACTGGGGCGGTATGTTCTTCTACTCCCTGTGGGGTCGGCTGGTACAAGGGAGGAACTCTGCTCGTTTGTGAGCCTGAAGATGTGGAAAATTGGTAACAATTATATCCGCGGAGAAGGCTAGCACGGACAGCGTGTCATCCGTTGCGCCCGACTCACGGTCACTGCCTAAATGCGATTGTGAATGGGCTCACAGACAATATGTAGAAGTACCCAACGAAGTTTCACTGTTAGCTCCGAAGATCGGGTATCTTTTGCCATATACGAGGAGTGAAATAGAAACGAAGGCGTCTGCGCAGATGAGCGATGGTTTGCGCTATTTGCTGACTTATCATCCGACTCTCCGCCGTTGCCTAATCGGGATAGCGCGCTCGCCTTTACCGCGCGTTACATCCGCCTCGTATTTCCACTCGGGGATACGCAACTCCTCTCCTTACGATCGCGGACGGAGGATACTGCGACTGTCGCGAAAATGGTAGACTCAGCACCCGAAAGTAACGGCGCGACATCTGCGCCGAGAAGCCGCCTTCTTGAGCTACCTGGAGGTAAACACTGTCTTCTAGGGTGGGAGATGTATCGCTAACGATAGCAAAAGAGTTGCGGAACCGGATTTATGGCTATCTCATTGATGTCTCGAGAGAGAAACTGGTACGTGGCGCATCCCGGGTTCAAGGCTCCTTCCAATGCGTACTAACGAGCTTTGCAGTTGACAGTACAGGTGGCTCGTTTCTCAAATCCGTCTAGTTTCGCACCAATTGCAGATATACGTTATGACCCATATCGGCCGGTAAATTCATGGAAGCCTGGAGCCAATAAGGAGTCTCGCAAAGTCTACTGGCAAAGCTCTCGATCCCTTGCGCTCGGCTTTACGCAGACGTGTCAGCTTCTCCGCCGCGAGTTTCTCCCGATGTATCGGAGGACTATGCCTCTCTGCGCCAGTATCAGAGCTATAGACTTCATTGATTGCATCCGTGGTCTTAACACTGCACTCTACGGCTACGGTCACAGAGTTATATCACAGATCAATTGCGGATCCCGCGATTACCTTGGGGCCCTCAACCCGCTTGATTTTGTTCGCAAGTTCCCCGGCCGACTATTAGACTTCCGCATTGAGGCTCAAGCTATGAAAGGACTCAACCGATTGGCAAAAGAGCGACCGCAATGGATCTGGGAGTACTCCGTAATTTCGTCAGCCACCCGACTTGTCTTCCGTATGGAGCTCCCTGACAGCAACATCATACTTGATTTCAAGGTTACGGCCTTCGAATCTACGCTAGACCCTGACATTACTGGTTCCATTGCCAGGAGCGATGCGCTGTTGAAGTGGACGAAGGGGGTGACCCTTTTCGGCGGTGATGGTCATCCCTACTACGTGAACGGTCAGACTGACGTGTCTGCTTAGCCGAAGCATGGGAAGTCTTGGATGGATGTTGAAGTGCTCAAAGTCAAAGAGGATAGCCTTGGAAGGGAAAGTATTGAAAAGCTTGGCGGTGAAGGAGACGACGTCCGATGTGTACAGTCAACCATGACACTGCGATGACGCAGAGCGAAACGACCCACTCACGACTTCCACCTCATCGAAGACCTAGGTACCCTCACAAATGAGAGAAGTCGCAAGTATGATATACTGGATGTAGTCAATATCCTGCACCTGAACTTGAATTCAGGGACATATAAAAGATGCCTAGAGTCTACTTTCACGTTAATTCACCTACGGTTTACGTTTTCATCTTGGTATAGGTTCCAGACGCCTTCACGGTCCCTACTATCAGACACTCGCGGACCCGGGCTGCGGGTATTCCAAGACCCAAATGGAAGTATGAGAAAGGTACTGTGAAAGTAAAAAGCTACATTCACCACCTGCATCGTAAATTAGCCGCCATTCAACGATGTTTCTATAATCAATCTCCAGGTATTTAAGGCTTGACTCCTCTTCCTTGTCGCTCAACCTCATACGAACCACGCCAATCCTCAACCAGAAGCCAAAGTTACAAGATGACTTCACACATTCCGCAACCTCAGTCACGCCTACTCCAGCTTCCCGGAGGTAATTAGCCTCCAGCAGAACCAGTTTCAGAATCGCTAATGACATTCTTCACAGAAATCCGTAATGAGATCTACGACTACCTAGTCGTCCGACAGCGATACATACACTTCAAACGACCTACAGCAGATGCAAATACTGTGACGCTCCATGCGTCGAATGACAAAAACACCCTCAGGATGGCTTTGGGTCTAGTCCACACCTGCCGGCAGCTCCGCAAAGAATTCCAACCCCTTCACCTAAAAGACGTCCATGCAACGGTCAACATCCCCGATATCAACGAATTCATTGCAGACTTCATACCGATACCAGCGACCTGCACGAACACGCTGTATATAAGAATACCACGGTCCTACTACACGGTTAACCTCATGCCACTTCTCCGCTTCCAAAACGCAGCTCCATCTGTAAAGATTAACCTTCTGGACCCTTATCGGGCCCCTGCTGTTTTCGACATTATGCACAATGACCGCGACGTAGACCCACACCATAGCTTCTTTTGCTTTCTCACAGCCGTTCTTATTGCCCTTGAGAGGACGGCGGCTTGGCGCACGTACTTTCGAGACGCGATTGTTGACATGACGGTGGATCATGCCGAGCATTTCTCTTGGACCATCAAGGTCAAGAAGGAGGCAAAAGAAGACTGGATGCCTTGGAACGCGGCAACTTCACGAGAGGGCTCGTCCAGGCAACACCTGGCTGCTGCTTCGATGTGGAAGATGAGGATTGGAATGGGCCATATAATCATGCCAAACGTTGTCGTAGCCTCGGATTAGGTCGGGCGCGGGTTCACAAAGCAATCTGTAGTGGGCTGAGGATGGGAGAGGTTCCTGGGCCAAAGGCAAGGAAGTTCGAGATGCAGGCGGTTTGTTGAGGCTTGTAGTAGCTACAAGACGAACGTCATACCCACGATGAATTGAGTGCCAATAACCTTCCACGCTTTCATACTCCGTGATGTCAAGATTGAACCACGCCTATGCAAGCTTTTTATAAGCCTATCGCCAGGCGACAGCTTCGCTTACGAGACCTCCCCTATCTAGAGTACTATAGTATACACTATGCTACCTATAGAATAGCGACTATGTTAAGCCTATAACCTTTTTTAAAAACCTTAAAAACCCTTTTAAAGACTTCTTTCTAACTAATTTATAAGTCTTTCGTTTATACGGAAACATATGAATAATTAAATGATTATTTTTGAACCACGCTCCACCCCAACCCCCCTACATCGCCCCATGAATAATCGCACTTATCGCACTATAATCAGTCCCGTACCCATCATCTTCATCATCGATATCAAACCCCCTATTCCCTTTCACCGCCCACATCACTTCCTCAAGCATCTCCTGTTCCTTCATCGCTTGGGTAATTCTCGGCTGCTTCACCGTGCCATTCTTGTACACCTTCTCCCAATGCACAGTCGGATGCTGAAACTGCACTTCCAGCTTATTCTTGCGACCTGGCGGCCTAGTGATCGCTCTTAGCACATCGGAGAAGTTCTCTAGTGCAGCGTTGATCGCGCGGCGCAGATCCAGGTTTTTGAGCTTGGGCGCGCTGACGGAGATGACGGGGTCGTCGGCCATGGGCTTGAGATTGTCTAGGTTTAAGTTTCCTGTACGGCCGTTGTGGCCGGTAATGCAGAGCGAAGTGATCTTTGGGCATGCCGTGAGAATGGGCGGGATGCACGTGCCTGTGATGAGGAGAGCGGAGTCCAGTCGGAGGTTTTTCAGGTTTGGGCAGGCGCGTGCCAGACGAATCACTGCATCGTCGCTGATGGGCATGTTCGTTTTACCAAGACGCGCACCCAAACCTATTTTCTCCAATTTCGTACGAAAAGCCTCGTCGGCTGTAGCGATCGCGTCAAGATGCGCGCTGTCACGTGAGTTAGCCCCACCCGCAAGGTCCAGGAACGCCTCCACCTACTCCTGCACCACAAAGTCTGGTCCAAACTCGATCTCTTTAATGCCAGCTGTGAATCCCAGCTCCTCTGGTTTCCATTCGTCAAGTTTGTTGAACACGCGTTGTACTTTCGTTGGCTTCTTGCCAGTTGATGTACGTGATCCTCGCGCGTTGAGCCCGGACTTTTGTTGCTGGCGCTTTCGGGCTCGCTCGGCTTTCTGCTCGTCGGTGCGGCCCTTCCATTGTCGCTTTGCTGGCGCTGCAGATTCCATGGCGATTTTCAATAATTCGAAGGGTATATGAAGCCCACTATTGAACTATCGTCTAGGTAGGAGAAAGGCGTTGGCGCTCAGATTGGGCACCGAGGGACGCTACCTTATGTGAGACGGAAGCTCAGGCCATCGCACTGCGCAATCGAATGAGCAAGGGGTCTACACCCTTGAACGCTGATCGACACCCATGACAACGTCTTTGTATGGAACAAAATCCCCTCATCTTCGGTTCCGGGCTCTCCGATCGAGATGATGAGGGGAACCATTGCGACTGCCGAAACAGGTTCCAGGCGATAAGCGTCAACTAGACACGCGCTTTCCTACCTAGCTTTACCAAAAACCACTCCCCAATAACACGACGTAGCCCACGCATCAGCATCGCAAGTTCTCATCTCGTACAAAATGAATCATCATTCGTATCGTGTCACCGCCGAAGCAGCTGCTATATGCTACCTGACTCTCGCGAGCCCTCATCACCAATCTAAAGAAACAAAAACATAGAGCCATACAATTACAGATGCCCACCCATCCATCTTATGCTGAAACCAAACGCCAAACACCTCAGTGATTCAAATGTAGTAGGAGATCCGTCAGTGGTATAGAACAATTCGACCCAAGCCAAAACGCCAGTGTTGTCCGTGTGAACCCCCTTCCAAATGTAAATGTGTGTTTCTGTTATACTCCAAACTCAAGTAATTCTCCTCTTGAGTCCTCCAAATAGTCCCTTCAGACCACTGGACTCTTCCTTCTTCTTCCTCCTGTCGCGTCGGTCGGTCTCGCCGCGCCTTGGCCTGGGACGGTCTTCACCATGGTCTCGTGCGCGGGGCCGATCCGACTGCACTCGACGATCAGACGGCCTCTCTTTCTCGACAACAGAGATGCGGCGTGTCTTGGGGCGTTCTTCTGGTTTGGACATACGCCTGCTTCGGCGACGCTCGCGTCTTTCCTCGTCTGAGATGGAGATCTCACCAACAACCGCGGCGGCGTCCTCAATCACTGGCGATTCAATAGTCTCGATCGGTTCTGGCTCTGGCTCGTACTCGAAGGGCTCTGGTGGTGGCGGAGGTAGATCCTCAGGTGGTGGAGGCGGTGGTGGAAGAGAAACTCCTCCGTCCCGTCCACCAGACATCTCGTGTTCAGGGCGACGCATAAAGCGTCGCTCCTCTTTCCACCTGTAGTAATCGGCCTCCTCCTCGGCAGAGGCAAAGCGGCGTTGGCTGTGTGAAAGACGACGACTACGGTGCATACGTTCTGGACGCTCTCGGCTCTGGTCCGATGACATATCTCGGCTCGAAGGTCGTTCCATCTCTGGTTCTCTTCGGGATGACTTGACAGGTGTAGCCTCTAGCGTGTTGGCGCGGGCACGAGACGATCGAGACGGTTTCGCAGCCGGTGGCGTCGCTTCGGGCTTTGAGCGGCCAAAGATACCACCAAAGAGACTACCACGCTTCACGTTCGGCGGAGTCTCTCGGGTACTCAAACGCCTGCGCGGCGCACTACGAGGAGGGGTGTCGTCGACTACTGGTGGGAGCGGGGGTGGAGGTGAGGCGCCATCTTCGTCTTCCTCTGCTGCTCGCCGAGCAGCATCGCGAGAAACATCAATAAGCTCTTCCTTTGGTTTCAGCAAGCCAGCTGCTTTGGCTGCTTCACGCTCCGCCCTCCTCTGACGTCGTAATTTCCGGGCCTCTTCTTCTTCGCGCGCCGCCTGCTCAATCTTCTCCTGTTCCAGGCGCTTCGCCTCCTTTTCAGCCTCATGTCGTTGTCTCCTCTTCTCATGTCGAATACGTCGGTCCTCTTCTTCCTGGGCGAGCTTTTGCTCTTCTTTGAGCTTCTTGCGTTCCTCCATGGCCCTCATGAGCTCTTCTTCGGCACGCCTGACTGCTCGGCGTCGTTCCCGATGCTCCAGCTTTCTCGCCTCCTCTTCTGCCTTCAGGCGGGCAGCGTCTGCGGCGGCAAGTCGCTCCTTCTCAGCTCTCTCGGCCCGCCGGGCTTCGCGCCGCTTCTGTTTGTCGGCTTCTTCGTCAACGTCCTCGGCGGGGCGACGCTTGCTGTATCTCTCCTCACCCCTGGGTTCTCGGTAGTGCGAGCGGTACGGGTCCGGGTACGCCTTCTGTATGTCGCTACCACTACTGGCTATCTCAACCTCGCGCAATTTGGCCCTTCTGCGCTCGGCCGCTTCGCGCTCTGTCAAGCTGTCGCGACGCCTTGTTCTTGGCGCATCAGGAACGGCAGAGGCTGGCATTATTGGTCGCTCCATAATACTAGCGCCACTTTCGCGTCTGCGGCTTGGCCGGTGCTGGCTTTCACGACGGGTGTGCGAATGTCGGCGACGGGTCTTCTCACGACTGGGTGTATCGGCAGACGGTTCGTCCTCAATTGCAAAGTCGCGCTCCCTGTCGGCACGGTCATCAACGGTATGACCGACTAATGCAGCAGCGGCGGCACCAGTAATCCCAGCAGCAGCAACAGCAGCTACAGAGGGTAGAGGTGAAGGTGCGCTTGGGACTTCCTCAACGTCGAGGGACCGGTCTGCCGGTGCATCGTCATCGGCCAGCTCGGGTTCGGGACTCTCTTCATTGGCCACCTCGGCTACGACCTCTTCTACCTCCAATTCGGGGGCTGGTGCCAACTCCTCCACATCCTGGTCTTCCGGGATTTCATCAGCGGGTGCATCCGCCGCTACTGGAGCGGGTTCTTCGGGTTCCTGCGTTGGTTCTGGGGCAACCTCAGCTGGTACTTCCGGTTCCTCAGGAACGGGTTCAGTCGGCGGCTCGGGCTCTTCAGCATCAGCTGGTGATTCGGGTTCTGGCTGTTCTTCTTCGGGAACTTCGGTTGGTGCCTCTACATGTTCTTCCTCAGGCTCGACATCAGGTGATGACGCCGGCTCTTCTTCGTTCGTTGCTTCCTCCGGGGCTTCGTCTACCGCAGGTTCCTCGACATCATCGCCCTCTACCACTGGCTCAGCGGCTTCAGCGGCTTCTGCTGGAGCTTCTTCAACCTCAGCAGCAGCCTCTTCAGGCGGTGCGTCCTCTTCGGGGGCTGGCTCTGACGCAGGTGGAGCATCTTCGGCACCGTCGTCGTTCGCTTCGCTGGCTTCAACCACTGACGGCTCCTCTGCCTCCCCTGTAGCTCCAGACCCATCGTTTGATTGACCATCCTCACTAGGTGGCTCTGGTGACTCTTCAGCAGGTGGTGCTGGCTCCGCCTCTTCCACCTCTTCAACGAGTGAAGGGTCGGCATCAGCTGCAGCAGATCCATCTTCCTGAGCCGCATCGAGACCCTCATCGGCGGCTTCATCTGGCGTCGCCACCGGTTCTTCTGGGTCCGCAACTCCTTCTGCCGGCGGCTCCTCTGGTTCATCCGCAGCTGCATCCGCATCTTGCTCAACAGCTTCCGCTTCTGCTTCCGGCTCCGGTTCCGCTGCGACTGACTCAGGCGTCTCTGGTTCAGCAGGCTCTTCCGCCTCTTGCTCAGCCGTAGATGCATCTCCCACTTCAGATGCCGGGTTCTCGACCCCGTCGGTTGATGGGTCTTCGGTAGGCGGTGCGGCGGTATCTAGGTCCTCCCCATCCACTGTGGTCGGCGCAGCGTCGTCATCGGCCTCAGCAGGGTCCTCCGGCGGTGCAACGGACTCTCCAGCCTCACTCTCGCTGCCAGATTCGCTGACCTGAGAAGCATCGTCACCCTCGTCTTCCTGGGGGACTTCCTCTTCTGGTTGGGGTGCATCCGCCGGCTCAGACACCTCGGTAGCTGCCGTGGGCTCCTCTTCAGGCTCAGCGGAATCTTGTGACGAAACCAGTGAATCGTCGTTCGCAGAATCTTCTTGAGTGATAGCACTGACATCGTTCTCGTCATCTCCTTGCTCCTCCTCGACTGCTTCGAGCGCAGGATCAGACGGATCTTCGACCTCTGATGCTGGAGACTCTGCAGCTGGGACGATCTCAGAGGTTGCGACATTGACTTCAAGTGATAGACCTGGATGCGGCTCTGTGACCGCGGCCGATTCGGCAGGCGACTCCGGACTCTCGGAAGCTTCTGGATCGTCGGGCTCGGCAGCATCGTCCACTGCCATGGAGCTCTCTGGCTCTTCTTGAGAATTCGAGGAGAGCCCGGAAGCGGCATCGTCATCTGAAGCGGCATCGTCGTCAAGGATTGACTGATCGTCCTCCGGCTCTTCAGGCTCAGCAGCAGTGACATCAGCGACATCACTCGGCGGTGCCTCTTCGGCATTCGTTGTTTCATCTTCAGCGGTTGCTGAGTCAGGCGCGTCGTCGGCCTGGGGAACTTCAGAGGCAGCAGGTGCGGCAGACACCTCAGATCCAGACCAGTCATCGTCCTCGGACTCCGACCCAGATTCGCTCCCCGCATCGGATCCCTGCTCTTCTACTGGTCCATCATCTGGCTCCGGTCCTGTGTTGGCTCCGCTGGAAACCTCCGAATGCTGTGGCTCCTCATCGGGCCCAACGTCCTCATGGACCTGCAATAGATCAGTATACTTTTCTGAATGGCCAACGGCATGAGGCAGATGTCGGTTCGGAGTCGATCACAGCTTATACATACCACTTGCGGCACCTTTTTGGCCGGCATGTCTGGTGCAGAGTCGGGCTCGGCTTCAGCTGGCGCAACGTTGGCAGCTACAACATCATGGTCGGTTTTTTCGGAAATATCTTGAAGAACAACTGGATCGCCCGCGGCGTGTTCGGTCTGCTTTTCTTCGGCCGTGGGGTTTTCAATTGGCGTCTCAACGTCAGCCTCTCTCGAGACAGGGTCTGGGCTGACTTCGCTTGTCGCGTCAGCTGGGATGCTTGCGCATGTTTCGTCGGTATTGTCGTCGAGTTTGGGTAAAGGTGCTTCAGTCTCAGCTGCACTGGTCAGCGGGTGCGGTGCATGGCCCCTTTTGGGTGGAGGAAATTATCGCTGCTGTACAAGTAGAAGTGCAATCACGAAAAAAAAGAAGGTGAGATTCAGAGGTGACGGGGATGTCGGGAGCCAAAAGACAA